CAGTTTGCTAATTTTTTTGTTGAGGATTTTTACCTCTGTGTTCATGAGGATATTGGCCTGTACTTTTCTTTTGTTATAATGTCCTTGTCTGGTTTTGGTTCGGGGTCGTACTGGCTTCATAGAATGAGTTGGGAGTGTTACATCGTCTTCTATTTTCTAAAAAGGATTTGTAGAATTCGTATTATTTCTTCCTTAAATATTTGGTAAAATTCTCCAGTGAACTCATCTGGGCCTGGAGTTTTCTTTGTTAAAGAAGTTTGAACTTTGAATTCAAGTTTTTAAGTAGATGTAAGACTATTTAGGTTACCTCTTCCTTCTTGAATGAGTTTTGGTAATTTGTTTTTCAAGGAATTGGTCCATTGTAAATATGTTGTTTAATTTATGGTATAGAGTCATTTGAAGTATTCCATTTTAATGTTAATGTCTGCAGGGTCTGTAGTGGTAGCTCCTCCCATTCTAATATTGATCATTTATGTCTTTAGCCTTCTATTTTTGGTAAGTGTGGATAGAGCTTTATTAGTTTTATCCTTCTTTTCAAATAACCAGCTTCTGCATTCATTCTCTGTTGTTTTTCTGTTTTCAAGTTCCTTGATTTCTGTTCCTGTTTTTATATTCTCTCACTTCTGCAAGGTTTGATTTTAATTTGGTTTTTTCTTTTCTAGTGTCTTAAGATGCAAGCTGAGATTATTGATTTGAGACCTTTCCTTTGTTCTAACACAAGCATTTACTGTAATAAAGTTATCTTTAAGCATGGCTTTAACTGCACCCCACAGATTTTAATATTTGCAATTCTGCTTTCATTCAGTAAGAAATGTTTTCTTCCCCTTTTTAAAAATATTTTATTTATTTATTTTCCAGAGAGAGAGAGAGAGAGTGAGCATGTGAGAGAGCACACAAGCAAGGGGAATGGCAGGCAGAGGGAGAAGCAGACCTCCTGCTGAGTAGGGAGCCTGATGTAGGACTTGATCCCAGCACTCTGGGATCATGACCTGAGCCGAAGTCAGCTGATTAACCGACTGAGCCACCCAGGCGTCCCTGAGAAATGTTTTCTAATTTCCATTAAGACTTCTGTTTTGACCCACAGATTATCTAGAAGTGTGTTTAGTCTTATATAGGGGACTTTCTTTCTTTTCTTTTTTTTTTAAGATTTTATTTATTTATTTGACAGAGAGAGACACAGCGAGAGAGGGAACACAAGCAGGGGGAGTGGGAGTGGGAGAGAGAGAAGCAGGCTTCTTGCTGAGCAGGGAGCCCGATGCAGGACTTGATCCCAGAACTCTGGGATCATGACCCAAGCTGAAGGCATCCGCTTAACGACTGAGCCACCCAGGCGCCCCTATTGGGGACTTTCTAATACCTTTCTATATTTATAGAAATAGTTCAAAATATGTTTATTAATTTTCTACTTTACCCCATTAGGAATGAGAGAACAGACTTAGTATGATTTCAGTTCTGTTAAACAATTTGTTAAGGTTTGTTTTATTTTGTTTGTTTTAGAACATTTATCTTGTGAATATTCCATATTTATTTGAGGAATATGCATTCTGCTATCTTATATTATTTGCAGTTATAATAAATACAGCTGTATTATGGAGTAGAAAGCAAAGTCACTTGAATTCTTCAGATAAAAAGAGTTGTTTCTGGAGCTGTCTGGGTGGCTCAGTCCATTAAGTGTCTCACTCTTGGTTTTGGCTCAGGTTGTGATCTCAGGGTCATGATCTCAGAGTCATGAGAGCATGGAGTCTGCTTAAGACTCCGCCGCCCCCCCCCCCATGCATGCGTTTGTGTGCATGTGCGGGCACTCTCTCTCTCTCAAATAAATTTTTAAAAAGGAAGAGTTCTTCTTGACGTATGACAATTGTCTCAGGCCATGCCTACAGACCTCAGGGAGTGTCTGTTCATTTTTGCACTGTTTTATTAAATTTAATTTTATTTAAATTCAATTAATTAATGCAGTATATTATTAGTTTCAGAGGTAGAGTTCAGTGATTCATCAGTTGTATTTAACACCCAATGTTCATTACATCACATGCCCTCCTTAATGCCCATCACCCAATTATACCATCCCCCTACCCACCTCCCCTCCAGCAACCCTCAGTTTGTTTCCTGTGGTTAAGAGTCTCTTACGGTTTGTCTCCTATTCTGATTTCATCTTGTTTTATTTTTCCCTCCCTTCCTCTGTGCTCTTCTGTTTTGTTTCTTAAATTCCACATATGAGTGAAATCATATGATAAGTCATCTGATTGACTTGTTTCACTTAGCATAATACCCTCTGGTTCCATCTACATCATTGCAAATGGCAAGATTTCATTTTTTTGATGGTTGTGTAATATTTCATTGTATATATATACCACATCTTCTTTAGCCATTCATCTGTCGATGGACATCTGGGCTCTCTTGATAGTTTGGCTTTTGTGGACATTGCTGCTTTAAACATTGGGCTGCAGGTGCCCCTTCAGATCACTACATTTGTATCTTTGGGGTAAATACCTAGTAGTACAATTGCTGGGTCATAGGGTAGCTCTATTTTTAACTTTTTGAGGAACCTCCATACAGTTTTCCAGAGTGGCTGCACCAGCTTGCATTCCCACCAA